AGTTCTTAAGGATCTCACTCCATTTATCGGCAGTTTCTAGCAAATTATTGAAAGACCTTAAAAGTGCATTTTTTAGCTCTATATCCTCCATTTCTGTCATGTTTCTTTGTCTCCGCATTATTTATGCTTTCTTGGTGCACCCCCTTGTGGTCTTTGTGCGTAGTCTTGTTGTAGTTACACCTTGATTGTTGTCGGCAATACTGGGGGTGATTTGACCTCCAGGCTAACTTGCTATGAGAGTCCCTGATTTTTTTAATGACCCATCACTCAGCCAGTATGGCTCAGTGGTTGAGCATTGACCCATGAACCAAGAGGTCACTGGTTTGATTTCCTGTCAGGGCACATGCCTGGGTTGTAGGCTCAATCCCCAGTAGGAGGCATTTAGGAGGTAGCTGATCAATGATGTTTCTCTCTCATCTGTGTTTCTACCTCTCTCAGTCCATTCCTTACTCTCTAAAAATCAATAAAAACATATTTTTAAAAATGACCCATTATATGCTGTCTACAAGAAACTCATTTCAAATATAACAGTATAGGTAGATTGGAAATGAAAGGATAGAAAAAATATACTATGCAAACATTAACCAAAAGAAGTCAGGATTGGTTATCAGATAAAATAGATCTCAGAGCAAGAAATTGATCCCAAATTCAGAGTAATATTATAGTATAACTAGAGGCCCAGTACACGAAATTCATGCACAAGGGGCGGGTACCTCAGCCTGGCCTACACCCTCTCACAATCCAGGATCCCTCTTGCAATTTGGGACTGCAGGCTCCTAACCACTCGCCTGCCTGCCTGCCTGCCTGCCTGCCTAGTCACCCCTAACCACTCTGCCTGCCTGCCTGATCGCCCCTAACTGCCTCTGCCTCGGCCCCCACCAGGGTGGCTTCCTCTGGAAGGATGTTCGGAATGATATTTGGAAGGTCGTTCAGCTGTCTGGTCTAATTAGAATATTATGCTTTTATTATTATAGAAGATAAAAGAAGACATAGCAATCCTAAATGTGTATGCACTAACCAACAGTTGAAAATATATAAAGCAAAAACTAATATAACTGAAAAGAGAAATAGATAAATTCACAATTATAAATTCACAATTATAGACTTCAAAATCCCTCTCTCAACAATTAACAAAACAACTAGACATAAAGTCAGCAAGAATATAAACCTCAACAACACCATCAACCAACAGATCTAATTAGCATTTACTGGTAAGAACACTCCTCTCAGAATATACATTCTTTTCAAGTAACAACAAAACATTAACCAAGATAGATCATATTCCGAAGGTCGTAAAACCTCAACAAACTTAAAATAATTGAAATCATACAGAGCATGTTCTCTGACCATAATGGACTCAAACTGGAAATCAATAACAGAAAGATAACAGGAAAATCTCTAAATGTTTGAAAACTACAAATACATTTATAAATAATCTCTGGGTCAAAGGAAATTTCAAAACATGAGGAACTCAATGAAAGTTAATTAAGAACTAACTTTTATTACAAGTTGAAAATAACTTTTTTTAAAATCATAATTTAGCCTGGCCGGTGTGAGTCAGTGGTTGAGCATCAACCTATGAACCAGGAGGTCACGGTTGATTACTGGTCAGGGCACATATCCCGGTTGCAGGTTTGATCCCCAGTGTGGTGTGTGTGAAGCTGATCAATGATTCTCATTCATCATTGATGTTTTCATCTCTCTCTCTCCCTATCCCTTCCTTCTGAAATCAATAAAAATATATTTTGAAATCACAATTTATTTCCAAGTTTGAATTTTGCTGTGATAATATTTTGTTGATTCCAATCCTACTGCTGCTCTTGAGAAGTTTCTTAAAATAATCAGTGGACACAGGTTAGAAATTTTACTTGAAAAGAAAGGCAAGAAAACATTTTCTAAAATAAATTTATGTAATATGCCGGAAGCCGGTCCATCCTTGCTGTTTCAAGGGACCTGGCATATATGGAATACTGTTCTTAATATGTTTGCTCACCTTCTTGGCACTATGTGTTTTAACCAAGGTCACCTCTCTGAGAAAGGTTGTTTCCCCAGGTAGGGATTTTTCCCTGAAGTTAGGGAGGGAATAAAACCCCTTAACTAAGTGCCAGGCGGGTAGTTAATCACTTTAACTACCTAGCGAGAGAACCTGGCTGAAGAGCCTAGAGACAGAACGTGGCTACAGAACCTGGATAGAACATGGCAAGAGAACCTGACTAGAACCTGGTGACTGAACCTGGCTGGAGAACCTGGACAGAACCTGGCTGGAGAACCTAGTGAGGGAACAAGGCTACAGAACCTGGCTACAGAACTTGGCTGGAGAACCTGGACAAAACCTGGCTGGAGAACCTAGCGAGGGAACATGGCTACAGAACCTGGCTGGAGAACCTAGCAAGAGAACATGGACACAGAACCTGGCTGGAGATCTTAACCAGAACTTCGCTCGAGATCCAGACCAGAACTTGGCTGGAGATTGTGGCTAGAGATCCTGGCAAGGCTGCTGATCAACTGAACGCTGTCTCCGTGTCATTCCTTCTTTGCCGACTCTGCCCACACCTTTGGGGACCCCTGGACCTGCTGGGGTTGGACCCCAGCAGTAATATATAAATTATTTATCTTTATCATATTACTCCTCTGCCCAAACATCACTGGTCCATCAAGAGAATTCTCAGACATGAGCAAGAGTAATAATATTCCATCAGCTCGAATATCTTGCCAACTTTGTCACATAAGAAACAGCTTTATATATTTTTTCATTTTTATTATGAATGCGTATTTGTAAAAATGGGAGACAAACATTTTAACTTGACTTTTTAAAATCCTCACCTTAGGATATGTTTATTGATTTAAGAGGAGAGAGAGAGAGAGAAACATCTTGGTTTACTTTTTTTTTTAACCCTCACCCCAAGGATATTTTTCCATTGATTTTTTTTTTCCTTTTTTTAGAGTCGTTTGTTTTCATATTTTTTTTGATTTCAGAGAGGATGGACGAGGGAAAAAGAGATAGAAATATCAATGATGAGAATCATTGATCGGCTGCCTCCTGCGCGCCCCACACTGGGGATCCAGCGGCAACCCGGGCATGTGCTCAGACGGGGATGGAACCGTGACCTCCTGGTTCATAGGTTGGTG